TGTGACATATTTCCTAAACGAACTTCTCTTCAGCTCTGCTTATGTAAAACTCCTCCACATCACTTTCCTTTAGTGATAGTAGCTCTGAAGTCACCGAGGCTTTAGAGATGGGCCCTCCACTACCAAGATATCTGAAGAACAAGGGTACAACAAGTAGGCCCTTTTATTTTTCAAGGGCCAAAATATGCTCGTTAATCCAGTCCTGCAATGTACAAAGTTAAAGATTTTAATAATCATACACAACCTTGTATTTCTCTAACCCGAATGCATGATATAAATACGTAGCAACAAACCATGGTGTATCCACTCAGGTAGACCTTCCAAGCTTTGAAGTCATGCCAGAATTTTAATATGTAACAATGACATCTTGTCCCCCAATCATAGTCACCCAATGATCTCAAGCCATCAACATATCGCAACAGAAAAATTGGAATGCAATAGTTTTTTGTTGTTAATCAAATGTTGGTAAAAACAAACAAAGTATATAGTCTAACAAAAATCAACATTGTCCATGGTGTTATTCCTGGCTTTCATAATCTCTTTTAACTTTGCAAAGATCTTGATCGTGGTGATGGAAATCTACTTCCCCCAAATAAGTTTGAAAAAGTTTCACACGGCATAATAGCACTGTAAAAAATATACATGTCTTTCCCCCAAATATAGAATTGTTTTGTGGAAAAAATTATTTCAATCTCCTTTCTAATTTTAAATGATCGAGATTCATTGTCAAACATATTGAAAATTGCCAACAAGCGATATCAAGGTAGCTTAGTTTTTAGACAATCAAGAAAAGGCCCAAACGAAGTGAGTTGTAAAACTTTTAGGTGTTTTTCGCTCATTTCAGCCTTCAATTAAGCCACCTTGTTATGAAAGAAAAGTATAGCAAATATAAAGGTAAGCCCTTCGTATTCTTTCTCGGGCCTAGAAGCATTTAAATAATATCATAAGTTTGCAAGATTATATACAACACCAACTCAAGTTTATAAGATAACTATATAGGTAAGTAATTTTCTTATATATGAATATTAATAGGAAACCAAGACACACCAAAGGAAATTGGAGACATTCACGCATAATAGTAAAAACGAACAAATACTTCACAAATAAATAAAATAGATATATCAACAACCAACGTGATAGAAATATTGACAAACACCTTCAATACTTAAAAAGTCACTCCACAAGAGAAATACTCCCTATGTCCCACTTACTGTGTTCATATTTTTATTTCCGTTTGTCCAATTTATTTTGTCACTTTCTTTTTTTGAAAACAATTACACTTTAATATCATTTTAAAATTTTAATTTATAATTTTTTAAAACTTTAATTAGATTAATTAGTTATCTTAATCTTAATATATAATTATTTTTATTACAATTACTTTCACTAATACATTCTTAATTATTTACTAATTATACTCCTCCTAAATTTTCTTATCTAAAGTAATGTGGACACCATAGCTGGGACGGATGGAGTATATGCCTAAAATATTTGAAAAAGGATCGAACTCTACCCGCCTAACGTCACAGAAATTTTACTACAAAAGTAAACCTATCAAGATGAAAATGAAGATCTTTCTATACATCAAAATATTTGATATGTGAAATGATGGTGAAATACAATGTCAAAGTAAACTTGGCCGGCATTGAGACTTTAATAAACCCGATAGAGGCACAAGACAAAGAGATCATACAACACCACAAACTAAAAAGAAAAAAGAAAAGTTACAAAACTAGAATATCAATTTTAAAAAAAACAAAATTTTAACTTACTTATTGGAACTCCGTTTCAGAAAGAAGACTCTTTTTGATATTTTGACCAGGTTGCACACCTCTGTTTTATCTTTTCGATTCGCCTTTGATGTAGAAAGATTCCAATATAGTGGTGGCAACAGTATCAAAAGTGATGGTCAGTTGCGACGGGCTGAAAGTAGGAAGAGAAGAATTTTCAAAGAAAAAGTGATTTGGGTTTTTGGTATTTTTTATGATTTTTGAGTTGTTTCTATAACCGATGACAGTACATAAATAATAAATTCAGGTATATTACTTCGAAGATAAATTTGTAAAGAAGAACAATTTTAGAGTATGTAAATAAAAAACTTAGGTTTGCATAATCTCAACGAGAGTACATAAAAAATTTGTTACATTAACTAATTATTTTAGAGGTAAAATTGGTAGTAGAAAGTAATCCATAACCATTTTGCAAAAGTAGAGAGTGCAAATTTATCAAATTATTTGGATTGACTGATCTTCAATATTTTGTAATTCATAGGAATTTATATTGGGAGAACACCACGTGAAGAAGAAAATACAAACAAAAATTAAATGAGTATGTACTCCTTGTGTGTAGTCACACAAGAAAAACATAACATAACATATTATTTCATTTACCAATGTACGAGGGATGATAACCAACAATAAATAACAAAAATAGCAATATGAGACACCAAAATTTTTTAACATGAAAACTCTTTCAAAGCAAATGATAAAAACCATGATGCCTATCACTCGACCCAATGTAAAATCTACTATATCAAAAGTGTTATTACAATCTAGGATAAACCATAACCAATGTCTATCAAACTTCACACCTAACTACAAGAATCAAATACCAATTGCAAGAGATCTCCCAATAAAAAAAAAAAACATCCAAAGATGATGAGATCATTGATCGGAATTGAGTTAAAAAAATTCTCTCTTGCCTGTCGATTCTTTCGTGTGTCTGAATAATAATTGTCTATCTCAATCTCTACACATAAAGTTGACCGTGCTCCCAAAAATAAGAGTTAGGCCAACAAATTGTAACTTTCAATTTCTTTTGGGTTAACATGAATGGTCGGGCCTCCTACACATAGCAAGAACCAAAACCCAACAATTTAATCCAACTCTCATTTTGAAACTAATAAAGGATTGGAAATGAAACACTAGAAAAAAATGTCAATAACCAAAAATTTTCACAAATGTACTTATCTCATTCGCAAATACCGAAGTAATTAACGAAATAATTAAGGGGGGTGTATTCAATATAGATTTTGTAAGATTTTGTTGAACTTTCAAAATTTGGGTGTATTTAATCAAAACTTTTAAAAGTCTTTTAAAATATAGAGATATTCAATCCGGACTTTTAAAAGTCTTTTAAAATTATGAGGTATTCAATATAGACTTTTAAAAGTCTTTTAAACTTTTGAGATATTCAATATAGACTTTTAAAAGTCTTTTAAAATTTTGAGATATTCAACAATCCATAGACTTTCAAAATCTATGGATTTTAATGGAAAATTGTGAAAATTTTGTATATGAAATAATTTCTCATGATCACCAGATATTTTGATAGATTTTTAAAATTATTATTATTATTATTGTTGTTGTTGTTGTATATATAATCAATAATATGATAATATTTATTACGATTATTATAATTTTTAATAAAAATAATAATTTAAAACTGAAATATATTAGTAAATTATTATGATTTTTTTTTAAAAAAATATATTTAAAAAAATATTATTATCACAATAAATATGTATTACTGTCGTCTTTTTTTTTTTCAATTATCGAATACACTATATTATCATTACAATAACGATGAAATAGATATTATCACAATAAATAGATATTTTGTTGAACCGTTAATTTATATTTATATATTTATTTTAATATTTTTTTCAAAATTCGTAAATTATATTTTTTTTATCTTATTTATATATGTATTTACTTTTTATGTAAAAAGGTTATATAAATAATAATAATAACTAATAAAAAAATATAAAACTAATTTGATATATTGAATGATAATATAATACTAAAATTATAAAATTAAAATTAATAATCTAGATTATAATAGTATTACACATGTTACAATACTTCTACATTATTAATAATTATATATTATTTATTAATATTAAATATTATTTTATTAATAATTATTTATTATATTTATAAAATTTTTTGCTTAATATAAATTTATATAATTAATATATATTCATTAAAAAAATTATTTTACAATCCTACAAAATCCATATAAATCCATAAATAACTCAATCAAATTCGTAGAAATTCATGTAAATCAATTACTAAAATCCATCAAATTCAACGTAGACTCTGTTGATTTTTCTAAATCCACATAAATCCATAGGCTTTTTAAAATAAAAAAAATCTATTAAAATCCCAATTGAATACACCCGCTAAAATTTCATCGTTGTATATTTTTTCACGAAGTGTATTTTTTTTTTTTTTTTGCGAGGGAATGTATTTATTTGCAACTACCAAACCTAATTTGTGATGGGTTTAAAAATACTTCTCTATTTGCGAGGGATTGTATTATGGATTTGAAAATCTCACGTAAGATCATCTCCAGTGGATTGTACAAAAAATAGGGGGAGGGGCTTCAACCCAACCCCAAATTCTTCCAATTTTTGCAGATATGCATAGTGTTATTCCATTTTTTTTTGGAGTAACACTGTTAATGAAGTGGAGTTTTTGTGGTGTTTTTTATATTTTTGGTATTTTTTGGGTGTATTGTGTAATTTTAATTTTTTAGTAGATGATATATAATTTTATATTTTAAAAGGTTGTATGTAATTTTATTTTTTTTGAAAAATAATGTATAATTTTATTTTTTAAAAGTGATATAATTTTAGTTTTTGAAAAATAATATAATTTTATTTTTTTAAAAAATAATGTATAATTTTATTTTCTAAATTTATATAACAATTTACCTGATGAAAAGTAATATAAATTATATGTGTATGAATCTAATGTAAAAATAAATTAAAATTGGGATGTAATTTATAAATATGAAAAGTTATATAAAAGAGAAATATATAGAGAATATATTTTTTAGAGTAAAAATTGAAGTTTACGATTGAAACTGTAAATTAACTGTATTTTTACGGTAGCAATTGGAAAAAATAGGGGAATTTTGCGGATGATTTTAATTCTCTCGCGAAAGTCTAATTAAAAAAAAGCCCTAGCCCAATTTCATTCCCCCAATTCCAATATGTGTAACTGTATTTCTTTCCTTCTGGGAGACGGCGACGACGGAAGCTCGATGACATTGTGGATTCCATTAAGTACGTTTCCCCAATAATTTATCGAAGGCTTTTGTTTCAATGTTTCACTTAGGGTTGAGCTCTGAGTTTTCTTTTCTAAGTTGCAGTTCAATTTTGTTTTGGTATAAATCGGTGTAATTGATGGTGTTTTGCAAAAAAACAAAAAATTAAAGTTTCAGTTCTATTTAGTGAAAATCTGCTTGTTTAGTTACTATTTTCTAAAAATTGGATGTCCAAAATCAAATATGAGTCAATCTAGGCATAAGAAACATCACACATCCAGTTGCTCTCGAATTTCATACTTTGGTATTGTTTCATTTGCTTACATTATTTCATTTTGCATCTTTTTTCCCTATATTATTTTATGATGCAGGAATTCTTGCTTTTAGTTTTTTTTTTTTTAGAAATTATGATGACATAATTTGCCTTGTATGCCATTATATATTACAAACCAAATCACTCTCTTTGTTCAGAACCTCATACTTGAATTTAACAAAATGTGAATCAATTTGTGCTTTTTTTTTTTTTTTTTTTTTTTTTGTGGAAATAGATTGTAAATATGAGTCATATCCATTATACTCACCTTGTATCTTTTGCGGATGTTTGGTTGGTTAATTTAGGTATTGTTATCATTGAAATCTTGTTCAGTCACTTTGTAATACAATCACCAAATTTCTTATCAAAATACTTCAGTTTATAAGGAATTGCTCTTTGAATATAAAAGAAAAATATAGATATACAAACTAAACACACCATTTTAGTTTTTTCTTAAAACTATATAAATTGGTTTTCTAAGCTTTTGAAACCACTGCATATATATTTGGGTATCTTTTGCGGCACTGTTGTTGTAATTTTGTATACTCAAATTCGTGCATTGATTGACCTTTACACAATTTTTAAATGATTCGTTCAATGTATAATTTTTTGACGTGATATGTCATACTGTTTAAAGTATGGATTGGAGTTACATGTGTGGAATTATCTTTTTATATTTAGTGGTTACACTTATTTATACTTGCATATTACATATGATACAATCCCCGGCCGAATTTAATAACCTGTAAACTAGACCTGACAAGACAACTCATAGTAGACGAAACTAATTTGTTTTTATAACAAGTGGTAATAGACTCAAGCTATGCATTTATTTAGGATCAATTGGTATGCTGAAAGGTGGTTAGTTTAATCTAGTTTCTTTTGAGATGGAGAATGCCTATATTGCTGACTGTCCAATAAAGTTCTGGGTGCTTCCACATAAGTCTTAACTTAATGGTTGTTGTATGGATCTTGTAAATAGATTTAGTAATGCTTCTTAGATTTTATATCAACTCATTTGTAGCTTGGGTTGGGTTTTTTTTTTTTTTTTTTTTTTTTTATGTATTGCATACTTACGAGAGATATCACAATGTAATATTGTAGGATTGGGAAATAGGGAAAGTATGATTAGTATTATATAACGAAGCACAATATAAAATCATGATGCAATACGAAGACTTCCCAAGTAGCGGTATGAAAATTATATATTTTTAAGTACAATTTAAAATTATTATATACAATTCATTAATATACTAGTATTTTAGGATGGTACGAAGGATATAGAAGAGTGGATGTCCCAACTCGGGGACAATGACTATAGAAGGGACGAGGTGTTACTGAGCTTAGTCCTCCATAACAAGAAAAAAACGTATATTAGGGTTGCGGTCATTGGCATTACCAGTATCTATTGAACGATCGTCGTTCAATAGCGATAGTCGTACTCCTTAAGCGGAGCCTACAAATAAAGAACACATAATGAACATGGAGCAGGAGCAATGGATTTTGAGGAAATAAAATATAACGGTCATGGACCAATTGTGGAAGATTTAGGCTCATTTAGACCGTTGTGACCCATACGCAATACCAGTACTCCCCCGGTCGCATGATCTAAGTTTGTTTCATACTTCGTTTACTTTTGACATTATTTGGATTGATTAAATGGTTAGTTTATTTTATGTTATCGTATGGTACTATGAACAAAGTTTATTTTGTACTCTCTTTCTCCTGGGTACAATTTCCCTTTTACCGTAGATATGAAAATTTACGAGGATATAATTAGTAAATAATTAAGAATGTATTAGTGAAAATAATTATCGTATAATAAAAATAATTTTAGATTAAGATTAAAATAACTAATTAGTCTAATTTAAATAAAAAATTATAAATTTAAAAAATTAAAATGCGGTTAAAGTGTATACTTCTTTTTTTTTTTTTTTAAAATGACATAATAAGTGGGACAGACAGAAATGAAAAGGTGAACACGATAAGTGAGATGCGGGGAATATTACACAATGTTTATTGTTTGGATTGTTGTTGGAATGACTTTTTATATTGTTAGTTTGTACTAATTTGAAATAAATCTATATTGTTCGTTCGTAATTGTTTAGGACATGTGTAGGAATTCGAAATAATTTTATATTGTTAGTTTTATTTACTTGGGAAAGATGTAGAAATTCAAAATGAATTATTGGTAGGGAAATTTGTAAAATAATGTACGTAAGGTAATAGGTTTAAACCCCGACGCCCACTGGTCTTGCGAGCGCGCTCGAAGCCTTCCCAGGCTTTTCGATTTTTTTTTGTCTAAGACGTGCGATGTCATGTATTCTTGCAAGCCCTTATGAATAATACCACAAGTATGAAGCAAAAATAGTAAATGTAAAATGTCATATATTATAATTTATTCGTAATAATCATTTAATTAATATGTGTATCTTATTTATGAATATATTACTTATACTAAAAAAATATTCAAATAGTGACCATAACTATATGATATGTTGATTTCAAATATGCTAAATAATACATGATATATTAATTAGCACAACCTATACAATTTTATCAATATTTACAAGTTTTGATATTATTCATTAATCATATACTTTCTTCCTCAAAGAGTAAGTTCTTGGTTTACTTTTTGGAGGTTGATTTTTGAATATTAGTAATTATACGAGAACGTACTACAAAAGAGAAAATGACAAAAATATTTTTATTAGTATTTTACAATAATAATATACTGATATTTGTATAAAAAATTATACAAATATAAAAATATTTTTAATCTTAGTAATAATGACACCAAATATAAATGAAAAGTGTACGGACTTATGAATGTAATATATTTTAAAAAGTATCATGTATATTTTTTTTTACAAATATATCATATTAAATAGTATTAGTTTTTAATTTACTCTCACAAAATTTCAAACTTCAAAATATCTAACTGTTGTGTAAACAGAAGATTCATTTATGTAGATATAATACATTATCGAACATGATTTTTAATACAAAATATATTTTAACTTTTATTTTAATAAAAAAATATATTATACAATCTCCGTCTTATAAGAAGAGTACGATGGACCTTTTGCATGTTGATATTTGAATATTAATTATTATATCAATACGTAATACAAATTAAGAAAAAATAATAAAAATACTTCTATTAGTCTTTTCTAAAATAAATTATACAAATATAAGAATATTTTTAATAATAAATACAATGACACAAAAAGACGAATGTACCGATTTAATGGACGAGGCAGTATGTATAATTCCAAATTGAGTAATACGAAAATATCAACAAAAGCGACATAATTATTAGATCAAATTAAAATAAAGATTTGATATAAGCGGGATGATAATTTCATATGAGCACATGTGCATGACCTTGAAAATATATCCATATTTCTATGCTCGACTCATAGGTATAAAGAAATGGGCTTCTGACACGTAAGCAAAGACAAAAAGGGACAATGGGCTGTTGACACGTAAGCGCAGACAGAAAGGAGTGCCTCCATGAAAAAAAAAAAAGAAAAAAAACCTTTTTTCTTTTTTTTTTCTAGTTGGGGAAGCATGAAATTCAAAGTCACAAAAGTCTAATATCCCCAGCAATGCGTTGAATTTTGTTCTGAATAATATATTCCATGTTGATTCATGGCAGCCCAGAGGGATTTGTTTAATCAACTCCAATTATGGAGCATTTCGTTTCATGCAATCCAATCAATGGGAGGATGTTCAAATGTCCACACGCCAGTTCATCCTATCGGCAGCTCGTGAAGACTTTCCGGATAAAACAAAATTGTTTGGAGACAGAGGGATTCACCAAACCCTACTGTTTGTTGCATCTATAAATGCCCCTCGCCCCCCTTAATTGCCACGACTCTGGTTTCGGGGGGAAATTGAGGTAAATCCTAGGGTTTTACTTTTTTTAATTGATGTATTTGATAATACTGCGCCTTGATACGGTCCAATTTGATGCAGAGGAATCGATACCATGGAGATTTCGAGCTTCAGAAGCTTATCTGAATTGGTAAGAGATTGATTACTGAGAGCTCATTGATCGTAGTTCTGGTTGAGAATGAGTGCAGTCTAAATGTTCGATGAAATGTCCCAGTTGAGTTTTTTTATTACAAAATTGTGTGGTTGAAGTCAAGTTTTCGCTTTATGAATTGAATACCTGCTATGATCTAATTTATTTTTCTAACATCATGTTGGTGGATACTTTTAAATCTGGTGATTGATAATGTGATATGAATTACATGTAGATTGTTCTTAAGTTTTCCAAACAAGTATAGATGTTTATCAGTATATTTTCGGCGTCTGCAGGGAATGGAGGACCCCCTTTTTATCCATCAATGGCCTGTGAATTCCATTGAGGATCTGAATTCAAATTTGCACCAGTCATTCTCTCAGCCACCAATGCTCGACTTCAAACGAGCTGCAGAATCAGAATCACCTCAAGCAGGGATAAACAGGCCGTTGAAGCATCATCGAACTGCCTCTTGGAATTCAAGCAAATTTGGGAACATGTTAAATTCGCCTGTCTTCGGAAATGCCCTCTTGCTTGATAATCAGGATGTCTCCAATTTGGAAGGAATAGTGAAACCTAAAGAGGAGGTATGGTCTTCGATTAATATCCCCTCCGATCCAGCTGTTTCCCAGTCTTGTTTTGGAAACCAAATGATGACTTGCGGCGGGGTAGCTAAGAGAATTGCAACAAACACGAGGCTTGCACAAGCGCAAGACCATATCTTAGCAGAGAGAAAAAGGAGAGAGAAGCTCAGCCAAAGGTTCATAGCATTGTCTGCTCTTGTCCCCGGTTTGAAAAAGGTGAATATTGGAGGAAGTACGCGTGCACACACACACACACATGCGCGTAGTTATAAAGAGATACGTTTCCTATCATTTTAAGCTTTTAGATTTAGTCATTGAACATTGTATATTGAAGTAGGATGTCCTTATAGGTATTTCATGCTCACAACTTTACGAAAGGAAGTCCACATGAACAACCTATAGCAGTCTAACACACAAAATCCTATTTGAATTCCGAAGCTAAGTGTGCTTTGGCAAGACTAGTATTAAGATGGGTGAGCTCCTGGGAAGTACTCGTGTTGCAGTTGAAAAAGGACAAAAAAAAAAGGAAAAAAGAAAAGAATTCCACATGTGTATGAAGTGGTATATTTTAGAGTTAATAGGAATAAATATAAACCATACGTCTTCATGTCATTTTATCTAATACCGTATTGTATAGGAGTTTCATGTATTCGCATCCTACTTTCTATTTATTGTTATGTGTTTAACTTGTAGATGGACAAGGCTTCGGTTCTTGGAGATGCGATCAAGTACATGAAACAACTCCAGGAGAAAGTCAAGATTCTTGAGAAGCAAACTGAGAAGAGCTCCATGGAATCTGTCGTATTTGTCAGGACACACAGAATCCATGTCAATGGCCAAGAATGTTCATCAGATGACCTGAGCTTCCACAGAGACGAAACCATCGTCAGCGAGCCACTCCCACAAATTGAGGCAAGATGCTGCAACAAGGACATGCTCATAACAATCCACTGCGAGAAACGAAAAGGGGCACTGGAAAAAGCAGTTGCCCAGATAGAGAAACTCCATTTGAATGTCATCAACAGCTCTGTTATGACTTTCGGAGATTCTGCTCTCAACATAACACTATTTGTACAGGTAATAACGCCATCAATTGATAAATGAGATTTTTGTGCACATGCTTACTGATTCTGGCTCATTATTTTATAACAGAAGGATACAGGATTTGCCACCGGCATCTTGAAGGAACTGGTGAAGAATCTACGCATAGCTCTGGAGTCCGCTTGAGAAATCCTCAACAAATACTTATCATATATATATATATCTATATTCACACGTGTCCTAGTTGATTACTATCTTTTTCAAGTTTCTCGTTTGCTGATTTCCTGGATACATTAATTTCTTCGGTGTGTCTCTCTGCCATTTGGTCCACTTCAAGACATCATCCTCTTCTACCTTAGGGGGCTTGTTTGGCTATGATGGGTTCGTTTTGAAGAAGGGTTTTTTTCGTTTTTATTGGTTCTTGGAAGAACTTGTTTTCATGGCTGCATTCATTTCTGATTGTGGCCATGTTTGATTGGTTGGTCACCCTTCTGGTGTAAACTGAAGTAATGGGTTTGTTCCTCATAGCATAGCAGCTTGCCAAGGTATGTGTTATTTCATTCCTCATCAAAGGCGTTTCCATTTGGGGAATGTTTGTTTGTTTTTTTGTGGATGGAGCTCAGAGGGAGAGACATATTGTGTATTGTGCTTCATATATTGCTGTGTTTGAGAGGTCTTTTTCAAGAGCCTCTTTTTTCTTTAGAATGTACGACTGTAATAATAATTATTAAAGTCTTATTTGGCACTTTGACTATCATTTGTGTTTGTTAAATTACAGTGGAGTTATATGATATACTCTTTCCCTCCCATCAAATTAGATTTTTTTTTTTTTCAATTAAAATATTAAATTAAATAGTTAATTAGTTTTATTTAATTTATATATTTCTTCAATTCCATATAAATTGTTCATATTTTTCATTTTAGTCCGTTCTACATAATCTATTTTTTTTAAAAAAATTATAATCATATATTTTAATTACATTTAAAAAAAATACTCTTTTTGTCCAGCTCTAAAGAGATCATTTGAGGTTTTGTACATGGATGTCAAATGAAGCGGGTTAGCCTTGGACCCGGTTTTAATGGGGTGGGTTCGGGTCTAAAAAATTTTGTTCAGGACGAGTGGTAGATTTTGAGTTTTAGACCCGGCCGGGTTCGGGGCGGGTTACAGGTTTTATTATAAATCCGCCCCACTCCGGACCCGGACCTGGACCCGAACCCAGATATTTTAATAATTATTATAATTTATTTATATTTTTGTACAAAATAAATTATATTATTTATTTATTTAAAAACTTTTAAATACTCTATAAAATAGAACTTTAATTTTAAATCAAATTTATGTTCGAATTTGTTTCTCCTTGTTGATGTGTTTTTTCAACAAACAAAAAGTAAAATTCAAAGATAGGAATTATTCTCGAATTTGATTAATTAGTGTCTGAGATTAGGAATCTCTAAACACTATAGGATACATAAATAAAATAGAAAATAAAAACTAAAGACTGGAAAATAAAGTGGTGATTCCAAAAAGCAATTCTTTTGAATTTGATGTCGATTGAACATAATTGAAGAAGAAAAATCTAAATCCTTAAATATTCCCTGAAAAGACGTTTTAGAACCGTCGCCTGGTCGGTTACAGCAACCGCCCACTAATCCCTCATTCAATGACATGTGTCTTCAACCGTCTGGCCAACCGCATACCCAGCCGACCAATCTAGAAACCAACTGATCGCCAGACCAAACGACTCCTTGGCCGCCCCATCAAGCGACTGAACTACTGTTCACTCAATTAGGCGACTAATTAACAGACCTTCGCTTGGTCCAAACTCCGTATTGACCGACTCAACCGATGGCGGACCAACCGACTGCGAACCAACCGACTGCAAACCATCCGACTTATTAATCCGACCTACTGACTATCTGACCTGCGGACTTTTCGACCTGCAGACCGTCCGACCTATAGACCGTCCGACTCGCAGATTATCTGACCTGCGGACCTTCCGACATGCGGACCGTCCGACCTGTAGACCGTCCGACTCGCAGACTATCCGACCTACGGACCTTCCGACCTGCGTACCGCCCGACTCGCAGACTATCCGACCTGCGGACCTTTCGACCTGCGAACCAACCGACTGGACCAACCGACCGAGGACCAACCGACCTGCCTATCCGACCGCAGACCTTCCGACCTGCCGATCCGATCGAGGACCAACCGACCAGACCAACCGACCGAGGACCAACCGACCTGACCAACCGACCTGAGCGCAAATTTTTCTCCTTTTCCACCTGACTTCGTTGCTAACTTCCTTTAAGATCCTGTTCTCCTTCCAAGTCTTTTTGGAGTTGAGCTCTTGGCTCTATGGGTATCTTCGTCGGATTGCAATCAAGCATCCCGAACTAGGTCAGAACCTTCTTTGCATATGTTGTTTCTTTGATCGAGACACCTCTTTCGAATTGATTCACCTCGATTCCAAGGTAATACGAATACGAAAGCAATCCAAGATCACTCATCTCAAACTCCCCAAACATCTATTTCTTGAAAGCTTCGACAACTTTCGGATCTTGGCCTGTTACGATGAAATCATCCACATACATACCAAGAATAATTTTGGTGTTCCCATTCCTTATTGTATATACAACATGCTCTTGCGAACACCTTATGAAACCCATCAGCTTAAGGCTTTTGTTGAGCTTTAAGTTCCATGCTCGAGGAGCTTGTCGAAGTCCGTAGGGTGTTTTCTTTAACTTGAGCACCATATGTTCTTTCCCTACAATTTTAAATCTCTCCGGTTGTGATACATACATCTTTTCTTCGAGTTCGCCATTCAAAAAGGCTGACTTGACATCGAGATGATATATAGGCCATCTTTGATTTGCTGTCAAGGCAAGAATCACTCGAGCGCTATCCATTCGAGTAACTGGTGCGAAGACTTCCTCAAAGTCAATTCCTTGTCGCTGTGCATAGCCCTTCGCAACCAAACGGGCCTTGTGCTGGATCACCTCTCCATTTGAGTTTTTTTTTTAGCTTGAAAACCCATTTGAGTCAGAAGTTTTATGTCTGACCAATAACGGGACTAGTGACCACGTTTCATTTTTTTCAATGGATTCAATTTATTTGGACATTGTTTATTTCCATTGTGGCTGTCCGAAAACTTCCAGATAGCAAGACGGCTCTTGCGTCTCTGCTAGCATCGCCTGTTCAAAATCAAGTGTCACTAGAGGCGAATCTGCCAATATATCAGCCATATTTCTATATCGGACAGGTCCATTGTCATTCTCAACATGTCTGCATGACCATGGAGTGGACAAACAATCACTTTTTTCAATTCTTTTAATGGCTGGTTCGATTTTTGGTGTATTTGAAACATACTGTTTGATCACCTTTGTTGCAACTTGCTCCCCCATTGAGCCATTTTGGGTCATTCGAACTCTTGTCTCCTTGTGACTAGTCTCTTCGAGAAATTGAAGGGATGATCTCCTTCTCCATCCAGCCAATTTCATGACACATTCTCTTCAAAAACAACTTCATGACTCACATGTATTTTACCACGAAATGGTTCGAGTAAATGATGAGCCTTGCTCCCTTCTTCGACACCCAAGTATACAAATGACTGGCTTCGATCGTCAAGCTTCTTTAGGTAAGGATTGGTCACTTTAGCATGTGCAACACACCCAAACACACGAAGGTGTGCTAAATGTGGTTTCTTTCCAGTCAATACTTCAAACAGGTTCACATATCGAACAACTTTGGTCGGTAGTCGATTAAGAAGATAGATTGCAGGATGACCAACCTCCCCCCAATACTTGCTAGAGATATTTATGCTCTTGAGTAATGATCGCACCATCTCCATTACTATTTGGTTGTGCCTTTCCACCACATTATTCTGTTGTGGACAATATGGTGCAGTGAAATGTCATTCAATCCCCCATTGTTCACACAGCTTTGCGAACTCCTTTGAAAGAAATTCTCCTCTTCGTTTAGATCGAAAAACCTTGATGCGAAGGCTAGTCGTATTCTCTACCAGTTGCTTTGTCTTATTGAACGTAGAACATGCCTCGTCCTTTGTTTTCAATAAATAAAACCATATCTACCAGAGTAATCATCAACAATCAACATGAAATATCAGTTACCTCTGGGTGTGGTTGGCGTAATCGAAACAATTAAATCAATATATAGTAGTTCCAACACATTCTTTGCTCGAAACGTAGCCACTAACGCAAATGGTTGTCTCGCCTATTTTTTCATTAGACATGTTCGGCAAAGCTTCTCCAGATGTGAGATTTGTGGAACACCAACAACCATTCCTTTATTCACAAGGAATTTTAAAGATTTAAAATTAACATGCCCGAGACGGGTATGCCAAAGCCATGCTGGATCTTCAAGGTTAGCCAAAAAGCTAACCGGTGTCACCAATTTAAGCTTGATTTGATAAAGTCGATTTTGTGTTCATTTCACCTTCATGATAAGACACGACAGAGTCTAGGAAAATACTTCAAGCTTCTCTCCATCCATCACCACCTGGTGACCTTTTTCAGTTAGTTTTTCGAGACTAACCATAATACTTCGTAATACACTTCTTCGAGTAGCCACTAATCGCCATTTATGCATTTAAAAAGGATAGCTCATTTTCTTTGAATTTGAACTGTTGAGCCATCACCGAACTTGACCTTCCCGGAAATTGTTTCATCTAATTCGAAGAATTTTTTTTTTCGCCAATCATGTGATTGCTGGCTCCGTTATCCAAGAACCAAACATCATTTGATGTTTTGACACGTGTAGCTCTTTGAAGTTCTGGGGTTGTCTTCCCTTCATTCAGCATGATGAGTTCATCCATTGAAGTCTTCTGTACTGCCACCATTAATGCTGGTTCAACATTTTTAGTATGGACAGGATGTGCTTCCTTTTTCTTCTTTGGTACTTGACATTGTGACGTGTAGTGTTCTATCTTGTGGCAATTGAAGCAACGGATACGACTTTTTTCATGACCGGCTGCACCGAAGCCACCTGCTCCATCTTTTTGAGGTTGTGCTCCTCGTCCACCTCTTTCTCGACCTCTGTCATGGGTCCTTCCTTCTCGTCCATGGTATCCACTATCTACCGGAGGCTTTCTCGACTGCATCAATGACGACTCTCTGCCGTCCCTTCTGAACCGTGCTTCCCACTCAGCTTGAGTGAGTTGTACCTAGTCCACTTTCCTTCCAATGCCATTGTCTTTCTTGCGTGTGCGTTCTTCAAAGGCCTTGAGCCTTCCAATAGCTTCCTTGAATGTAAGTGTCTCCAGATCGTAGAACTGCTCGATGTCGGCAATCACACTGATAAATTTTTCTGGCACCATGTCGAATAATTTCTTCACTAATGCGGAGTCACTTAGCGTTTCCGCAAGGCTCGAGTAGTTGACATATATTGTAGTGAGTCGACCAGCATAGTGATCGAGGGATTCACTATTACTCATAACCATCGAGTCAAACTCACTCTTCACTGTCGAGTCAATCACACTAAAAAAATGTTTGTTGTCCTGTTTTAAAATAGAACCAAATGAGTCAATTTATAGGAGTCAATGTCCCTATCTTTTTATTACACTTCCGATGTGGGACATGGGAAGATACACAATAAATCCCCCATTTCTCATAGTCTCACATATTTCGACCATGTCAGAAAAACAAACCCTCTTCTCAATTTTCTGATTCTTCAGATCATTGCTTCTCTTCAAATATGCTCGCAAGGCGCATCCATTTCGATAATAAATATTTTTTTTCTTC